AAATCGTAACCTCATACACTGTCTCCTGGAGAGAGCAAGACACATCTGTTCAGAAGATACCTTAAAGGACGAAATTGACCTAGTAAGCAGAACCTTACTGAAAAATTGCTATCCTGAGAAGTTTATCGACCGTAATTGGACTGAACAGAATAAGCCAACTAAAGTGCCAAAAATGGAGAAGAAAATGTTCTTTATGAAGCTTCCTTTTGCAGGCGATGTCGCCACTGAGATGGTCAATAGAGTTTTATTCTCAGCAGTGAAATCTACTCTCAATGCTGCTCAGCTAAGATGTGTGCTTTGTACCTCACCAAACTTCCGATGCTTCAACTAAGCTGTCTAAATTGACCTCACCTGTGATTGTCTAATAATACAAGTGCTCCTGTGTTGCGACTTATGTCGATCGAACGACTTACCTCAACGAATCAAAGATCACAACCCACGTTGACTGGCCCAGGGTAGGAATGGAACTGTGTCAGGCTGGATCGTTGCTCATTTGGTAAAATCGGGACACTTGGTTGACATGCGCTCGGCATTCACAGTCATTTATCGAGTATCACCACACCCCTCGAGGGCAATGCGGTTTCTGACGTTAACAATCGCAGAGGCGATTAGCATCCGACTCATGAAGCCTGAGTTGTGCGCTCAACGGAAACTGAACCAAGCTCTCAAACTCCCCGGTTTAAGGTAAGAGAAAATTGCCAGATACATAACTCATCCACCTTTCTATTTGACCCTAATGAAATTGTGTCATATAAATGTGATTGTAAAAGTCTTCAAAAGGAATTCGCCGAAGACATATGTTCTCCTACATCGTGTTCTTAATCACTGGGCATATTCAGATGGTGAATGTTTGGATTAGCCCATTCGGCTTCACAGGCACCAGGCACTGTCGGTGATGTTCGGTGTGGGCTCACTCCATGGGAGATAGGTAATACCCCACTGTTTCTATGCATTTACATGCGATAGAAATGTTTATGATAACCAACAAAGAGCATTGGTGAGGTATTTCGTCCTGTTTGGGACTCATCAGTATATTTGGTAATTTCAGAAGTGTTTCCTCTTATTAGACAGTTACTGCATATTTGAGTTAATTAAATGCAAAGAGTGGCTGCACGGGTGATTGTTCCTTCAGACCAGACAGTTTAATCGTGTACGATTTCTGTTACAGTTGAGTGACCGTGGAGGGTTCGACAGTAGGTGATGGTGTAGAGTTAACTAAGTGTGAGTGAGATGTAAACTGTGAAACTAGGCTGAACTCAGAACTGAATCTTTCAACATCAACGGTGACCTTTTTATTAGTATTGCTACACAGTCGTTTTATATCCCTTCACGTACTACGACAGCTGTAGTGCCCCAGTGAGGTATATATGTAGACTTTATTTAACCAACTAATTTTAAATTAGATCAATCTTATTAGCCTCTTAAAATGGGTTCTTTATCCACGGTCATAGACCCGCTCTTTCCTCTTGCGTAACTTTTTAAGTGACGGTGATGAATATCTATCCCTATAGATGAAATTCGTTTCAAAATTACAGTGGTCCGTAACATGTTCACCGAGGACATATGGATTCTGATCTGAAAACACTGAAAAATTTGTTGAATAAAAATCAAAGATCTTGACCTTTTGTGGGTCCTCAAATGAAAAATTCCTTTGATTCATTGTCTTGGTTCGTATTCCTAACATACCGGTCAGTTCTACTCTGTACAGTCGGACATAATTTTAAGAAACAATAATCAGGGTTACTTAGAGGTGCACGTTTCTGGACATAAAAAACCGCAGTTCGTTTGTAACTCCCAACTCTGTTTGGAAAATTTACCAAATTTTGGAAACCAATTGTCGTGTGGAAAGTTAACTCGTGTCTGTTAAAATCACTAAAGATTATGTACAATGTTCTTCTGTTCCTGCTAACATGGAGGAAGAGAAGAGATCAGAAAATGTGTTCAACTCATGGACTGTTAGTGAACATATGTCTCCAATTAATTCATTTTCAAGCTTTCGATTCATACGTGTAACATTGTTAAGTCACTGATCAATCTGAGTCGATTCGGTCGTAAGGAAACAAATACATAACGATGATTTAAAGGTTGATGTGATTAGATTTTCATTTTGAGGTCAGCGTTTGGCCAACCAGGCGGTTATGTTATGGACCATTGGCTGGTGTCATCGGCATGCTTGTTTGTGATGCAATTGCTGTCTGGTCGTGGGATTTGACGTTTAGGGACAAATTTGCGTCAATTTTTAACAGGCAATGCTAGTCGTCCCGGCGGTTACCGGTGTTCGAAACCCAACTGATCTCCGAAGATTTGTAGGTTTTCAATCATTTGATCGAACCTCGCTAAGGCATAGTTGACTTCGTGGGGAACAACAAATCTAAGTTATTTACTGAAAATTGCACGTTGTAACTAAGGTTCAAAAATGTGTTCTTCATTAATTTATCCGAACTAGTTGAGAATACCATACAAATTCCCAACTGGTTTATGGGTAACCAAACCTCGGCAGATTCGTTTTATTATATCGTCGTGACATCTAATTGAATCGAGATTTAGTCAGCTATCATATTTTAAACTGGTGTCACTGAATTTCCTATTGGTTACCCATAATCACATCTCATACAGTTACATGAATCATCCTACTTTCAATCAAAGGTGTGTCCAGTAAAGTGATCAGAAATAATTTTATTGGAACCCTTTGGGTTTCCTTGCCCTGTGAATTGAGAACTTGTCTTACCGTTTCATGCTCATCTGGCCATTCCGGATTCAAATGATTTTATGATACTGTGTAAAAGTTGCATACATTTTTGTCGAACTGCAACTTTCGCGAATAGCATGTGTCGTCCCTGATCAGGCAAACGATGTTCAGTAAAAGATGACCAAACAAGAATCGTGTTTTCGGAGCTAGGTCAACAATCGAATTAAAATTATTGTCAAGACCAATAAGATTGGGCAAAAGATATCCAAACAGATAGTCGTTGAGGGTGTACCATCATTCGAAAGGTGTCGATTTCTTTGGTAAATTAACTAGCACGTGTGGGGAAGGACTACGTTGCAGGATCCCGCCGCCACCCTCCAACAGTTGGCGTCTTTTGACCGCGTAGATTCGACGGAAAGCTGGAATTACATTTGGAACTACTTGGCAGGACAGCGTCTTATGTGATAAGACTTGTGTGCAGCGTTGTGGATGATTAAAGTGCAGAATCAGGGAGACTGCCGTGCAATGAATGAGTAGATTATTAATTGAAATTACACCACATGATTCTGGTGTCTGAAGTTATAAAGCCTATAATAGAACAACCCTGAAGTATGAATGGTTACCTCACATTTGTCATTCTTGGAGAAAGAGGGGAACCAAATGTCACTAATAAAAACTGATTAGGTTTATTTTGATCTTCTGATACTTGTTCCTGAAATTCATCTGGGAAGAATCCCGGGAGAGTGTAAGTTATGATAATACTTATGGTATGGAGATGGAAAAGATGAAACAATGCTGGATCACTGGGTTAAGAGATTTAAAATCAGTGGGCAGATAAGAAAATTATGCTCAACGTATGGCTTCGGTATTGCAGGATGTGGGTTGGTTGAGCTAACTGAAGTTCATAGATCCAAAAAGTACGGGAAATCCTTTGTTTATCACTTATTGTCATTTCCTCTCCAACAGCTTGATTTACCACTAGCGGTTTACGATTAAAAAGTTTCATCTTCTTGGACTAATTTTGTTCCCCTCTGAATACAAATACTAATAGTTTGTTTTTAAGGAAGACTTTGTTATTAGACTCACTTCCTATTGATTGTAAAGGATCACAAAATCGCTGATTTATCACTTCCGAAGGTTCCGATGAATGTTAATTTTCGTTCAATATAAGACAAACTGAATCGCTGATGATTAACAGCTACAAACTAGTCAAATTATCCTAACTCCTGCCACAATTCTTACTGAATTCTCAGATCTTCAAGAACGGTACACGATTGCTTCTGAAAAATCGACCACACTATGAACATAGTGCACAAAACACTGTTGACTTGTATCTAAGATTAACTAGGTGGACATAATTTCCATCTTGTATGTGTCTGTGTGTACTTTCTATTGACCAGTTAGGCGGACGTCCATGCGCACTCATCATGCCCCGAGGATATCCGGCTATTTTTGTGTTCGCACTTCTGTCTCTTAGGGCTTGCATACACGCGCGCATGTTTGATTGTGTGTGAAAGTATGGTAGTTAGTAAGGGAACCTAGTANACCTAGTAGTGGCCTTCGACATACCACTGTTCCTCCGTGCCCGGGACAGATTGCCAACCGAGCTCGTGTTCACTACTTTTCCCCATCCATCTGGGTGCACACACAACCGAGCGTGGGGCAACGATTGATTGGCGAATTGATCGAACAACCTGTAGGCGTGTACCCTATTCCCGGGCGGCACTATCGACCCAAGTGCATCTACCGCGGGATCCCAGTGCCATGGTGTGCTGCACGCACAACATGATAGTTGGATCGATCCATCTCAGCGGTCGATAGTGGGTATTGGCCAGACGAAGGGTTGCGCTTCATAGAGGCTGGTCAACCCATATCTTCGCACTGCCCACCACCCCCGGTTCCGTCCAAGAACCGTTTTTGTGTAAGCTAGAAGAACCCGCTTGCAAATAGAGCAAAATGCCGTAGGGTGGATGGCAGTTCCCCTCCTTTACATACACGCACACTCACAGACAGGCGTCGAACGCGCGCATGTGCATGTGGGTACATCCAATCGTAATCCTTAGAGCGTCAGGTAGACAGCACTCCGCGGCAGGGATTATTTGACAATAGGTCACTGGGCTGTTACATCCAGTTCCGACTTTGCTGCTTACCGTGTGCGTGATCCGTGTACAGTTTTCGCTTGCTTTATAAAATTTCACACTGTGTGACCACTTTGCACAAGTTACTTAACTATACGTGGGATTATTACCTCAGTGTGTTCTTCTTTCGTCATCCTTTTAGTTGAACTCCACAACTTTCTACAACCACAATCATGAGCGACGACGAGAGCCGAAACAGGTGAGTGTTATTTGCATTTACGGGCTGTGAAGACTTTTGAATTGTATTCGTCTAAATAGCAAATCAACGAAACAAAGTGAAATTGTGCATTCGAATTACTGAGTAACTAGTTGATCGTTATGTTTCATCTAATGCGGTTTGACGTTTTGCTATCAGGACTTAAACTGAAATTTAACACTGGCATGGTTTGCCCAGTAATCGGAACTTGATTCAGCTGTAAAAGCAGTGAAAATGGCTCTTAGGGATATTTATGTTTGTGTACTCCTTCATGTTATACAGGGTATCCTATAGGCACGAGATGAGAAAAAACATGAAACGCAGATGCGTGGATGGCGTTTTGTTTGTCCCGTGTGCAAGAAATTCACAATTCATCTAGAGTATTTGTCAAAGTTCACGATACTAAGCAATTCATATAACTGTTATTGTATCAACTTGTGAGGATAAAGTAATCAGAATGAGGTAGTAATTTGAACAAACTCCGGTGTACTTGTCCACCGGGGTTAACCAAGCTGGTAAATATAAATAACATAACAGCTTTTGATCGGTTAGTTTTACGCCATGAAAAGCTAAATGATGCTTAGGAGCCAGAAGTTGTTTATTTGATTGGTTCGATGCGTTACGAATTACAAAGAAGTTAAGTACCGAGTCATATGTTGATATACGAATTCAGTAGAATGCAAGAATGTATAATAATGATACACTCGTTGATTTTGATATATCCGTAACAGCAAATGCTGTACCTACGATTCACATGCTATTCAAGTTTGGCATTATTTCCCTACTGGGTAGACTGATCACCCAGACGGTGTTGAAAGTAGCTTCTGCATTCAGATAGTTTACGTCGAGATTCATGAGATATCTCAGTTCAAACTGAAGGGAATTTGATTTTCAACCGCTGGTAGCCCATTTTTAGACATTACACCAGGTAAGATTTGTTGATTTGATAGCATTGCAGCATAATCTTTGTCGAGCTACATAATACAGATGGGATCTTGTCTAGTCATACACTTTCCCGCTTTTGAAGCACTGTTCCTTGCTCTTCTTTTGTTTTCCCTCCCCAAATGCAGCAGCTCTGATGTAAGTTCGTGCATTAAGTCATTGTATTCTTTTTCTCATATTCCATCTTTCTCATACTTTTTGGATGTTTTCACATTCACAACTCATTGACCATCCATTCAATCAATGATTGATTCTATCCTAAATACTCATTCGACCAAACGCACGTTGCGACTGCGCGCGCGCGCATCTCGACCTCAATTCACAACTATACAGTACATCATTGATGCATTTAATAGGTTTTTCGCACTACCATCCATTGATCATAGCATATGATGGTGATTCGGAAGTTAGTCATTTTCCAACTACCAATCTGCCGATGAAAGCCATCATGTTTGTGCAATTACAATGATCAGTGTCCATTGGAACCAGTTCGTTTCTTCCTACCTCACTCATCCATAATCTCTCTAATTTCCATTGTACTCTCTCCCTCTCTCCCCCGTCTGTGTTCGTGTTAACAATACCACCGTCCGATCGAATAATCTAACATACTGCCAATCCGAACTGTCCTTTATTTACATTTGATTCGTGTGCATCATGCCCGTTCACGCGTTTGTTCGTCCATCCATCCATCCATCCATCCATCCATCCATCCATCCATCCATCCATCAATCAACACATTCACTGGAAATTTATGTTTGTACACAGGCTTCGGAATCTGAGGAGGTGTGATATTGTGTGCTTGATCTATTCCATCAGTGTCTGTTTTTGGATCGATACCTCATTCGTTTCACTTAAAAGCATGAAGTTGTCTCATCTACATTTCAGTTTGTGTGTATCCATATCAGGAATGCCAATTTCTGTTCACTGTCATGCATGCGTTTGAACTTTGACATTGATTCCACAAAACCCACCCTCCTAAAACTGGACGAATAATGATGTGATTGTAATACCTACACCTTTGTATTTTTCCGCTTCGGGTGTGATTCGATTTTATGTCCGAAATTAAACCAATCAGAGGAATATGATAGAATATTTACTTGCCTGTCCGTGGCCTTGTTTCCCTTTTTTCCTCTACCGTAATTTAAAAACATCTGTCGGCATTCGTTGATGTTTGCTTGACCCTGACCCAGAACCATAAAGAATATCTGATCAATGAATGCAGCATGTTGATCTATCGTGAAATGTTATTCGAGTTCTGTCCGTCAATCATCTTTGATCAGCTGATTTGAGTACCCAGGGGGATTTGTGGCAATGCATCTTAACGACGATTCCCCACGGAAACATATAAATCAGCAACGACGGAAGTTGTGACAAATCTGGTGTTATAGTTTATCCCGCTTGTGAACTAATTACCCTCTGATCTCAATCCGGACAGGATAACGCTTT